TGTGTGTGTGTGTGTGTGTGTGTGTGTGTGTGTGTGTGTGTGTTTCATGGAAACCGCTTTAAAATGGGTCAAAGAGGAGATCAGATGATAAGATAACGCATCCTAATTCTTGCCATAGTCGACTTTACAATGTCCTCTGTTGGCAGAGTTAGTCATGCCCTTGCTGTGACCAGAGGGTATTCACTGGAGGCTAACCCAGGCTCAGCCCTTGCAAATGGATGCTGGGCTTCCATTGCCATCCAGAGTCTTCTACAAACCAGGTGTTCACAATTTAAACTCTGATACCATCCCCTTCTTTAGATTCGGACTCTATTATTTACAATCCTTGGATCACACAGGTTGTTGTTCTTATGCCTTGTGGACTTGGGTGACACCTCACTTAGATGGCTGCTTGTTTGAAAACACACCTTTAAGACCTCAGATGCTATTCTTCCTGATAGCTGGGCACCCTCTAGTTTCCTCACACATTTTGCTATACCACCTATGTTCTTCGGTGATCTCTGCATGAGGGCAGGCATCAAGCAGGGCCATGTCATAAGAACTTATTGTTTGTAGATTGGGGCTAAAATTAATTGCAAGCTCAAAGTCTATTCATGCAACTATGGTTTACACATGTCTCTGGTTCACCTTACAGAGATCAGTGTCATTTGATGTTAGAGGATATTATCAGTCATCCCCCGGGGCACCACTTCCCCTCCCATCAAGTCAATGCTGAGCCAGCAGGCAGGGTAGACCTGCCCCTGTGAGTCTCAGAGCCTGAAAATCTTCACAAGAGGAGAAAGCCTCATTCTTCCCCTGTGGAGCTAGGTGGTGGTTTGGAACTGCTGACATTGCAATTAGCAGTTCAATGCATTGTGCCTACCAGTACTATGTACTGAGAGTGGCATTAGTTTAGCCAATGGTACAGAACTTAAAACACTGCTGAGGAAAGAAAATTATACGGGTATAGGCTAGTTATGAACTTCATACATAAACTGTTGACTTTCACAGATTCCATACATTTTTAAGCGACTGGACACTATTTACACAAGCATCATGACTGGTGATGGGGCAAATCTTCCGATGGTATTAATTTAATGCACAGCAGCAGAGCCATGCCTCCTAGATTCATACCTGACATTCGCCTGCTTTGTGGGGTGTTTGGTAATTCCACTGACTCAGATCCACAAAGCAGAATTCTAGACCTGGCATATGGCAGGGAAAAGCATTCTGCATTATGGAAAACGCCATGGGGCTGGGTTGCTATGTAAACTATAGACCCACTTAAATTAGAATTTCCAACACAGTGTATAAATGTTTAGTGTGTTTCCCCCAATTACGCCCCCCCCCCAAAAAAAAAAAATTCTAACTCACTGCCTGCTGTGGGTTTCTGAGCCCGAGAATCTGTACAGGAGCAGACAACCTCATCTTTCACCTGCAGAGCCGCTGCTGGGTTTGAACAATTGACCTTGGAGTGAGCAGCCCACTGTGTAACCACTGCACCACTGGGGCTGTCTTCCAAAATCCAGGTGCCTTGTGTGTCTATTGGCTAGATTTGGTTCTTGTAGTGATTTACCGCCTTGGGAACAGCAGGGGGCAGTTCTACTCGGCCCCACAGCGTTTCTGTGAGTCAGAATGGATTCGATGGCGGCGGGTGGGACCCGGAGGTGGTTAGCAAAATACGGAGCCTAGGAGCCCTGGGGCCACAGGGGTCACACATTGGGCTGCTAACCACAAGGTCCACAGCTCAAAACCACCCACTGCCTCACAGGAGAAAGATGGGGCTTCTTTTCCTGTAAAGAGTTACAGTCTTGGAAACTCACAGGCGCAGTTCCACCCTGTCCTATAGGGTCGCTACGAGTCCACACTGACCCGGTGGCAGTGAGTTTTTTTGTTTGTTGCACCTGAAACGGGAGCTCTCTCCTAGCAGGGTTTCGTAGCAGCAGGTGTCTCGCAGGTGGTCCTGAGCGCCTCAGGTAAGCTTTTTAATGCACTCGACTTACAGCAGAACCATACGCCTCCCAGGGTTTCATAGGTCATCTTGGGGACAACAATATTAGTCACATGGAGTGATTGTGCCACTTCTTATTTACTTAGTGAGACACAGCAGTGAAGGAGAATCCCAAAGAACCTGTCTCCTTAGTATTTGCAGTCTGGTGTGTGTGTGTGTGTGTGTGTGTGTGTGTGTTCACAGTGGATGATTGCACGCTCTGATAAATGCCCTGGAATAGGAGCGAGGAATGGAATGCAGTCAGGTTGAGTCTAATTGGTCCCAAGCGTCTGGACCCTGTACAACTGCATACTTTGGTCCCCATCAAATGCTGCCGGTCTCTGCCCCTCTCTCTCCCGCCAGGGGCCGGGGCAGGCACCTCGCCACTTCCCTGAACCCACCCTCCCCGTTCATCCCCTCTGAGGCGCTTCGGACTCCGCCATTCTTCCTGCTGATGGCCACCATGTTTGTCTGAGTAGCTCTGCTTTCAGTGGCTGTGTTTTTGGAAGGAGATAGCCAGGCCTTTCTTCTGAGGTACCCCCGGAGGGGGACGGGTACCCTCCAACCTCCAGCCATCCGATTAACAGCCCCCTGCGTGAATCGCTTGCACCTCCCAGGGGCTCCTCAGAGTCCTCGGACCTCTGCAGTGTGCTTCGCCCTCTTGGGTCTCTGGGAAGAGCCCTCAGGATTTCAGGTCCCCCCACCCCCACCTTCCCGATGACTCTGGCCAGGAGTCCCTGCGGTCCCCTGAGAAGGTAAACCCGATCGTTACTCCCTGTCCGGCAGGGAGGTGAGCATCTGTCTGCACCCCTGCATGCTTTAAACCCAAACTCTCTGCCATCGAGGGGAGGCCGAATCACCCTGCAGGACAGGGTGGCGCTGCCCCTGGGAGTTTCTGAGACCATGACTGTTGCCGAGAGAAGGAGACCCCGCCATTCTCCCGAGGTGCAGTGGGTGGGTGGTTTCCTACCACCAACTTGATAGTTAGCGGCCTAGCTTGTAACCACTGGGCCACCAGGGTTCCCACTGCTTTATTTACTTAGACCCATTTTTTCATAAGCTCCCATTTGCAGAGAGAGAGCCCTGAACTCCAGGCTTACATATCATACAAAAATAAACATTTTTTTAAAAGCAGGATGGCCATTCCAGCAGGGCCCCAGCCCCTCCCACTGCGCCCAGTCTCATTTTGGGCAGGTGAGTGTTTGGCTGTCCGAGCACCCTCGTGGGAGGAGGGAGTTGGCGTGCACCCTGCAAACACCCTGACAGCCACAGAAGCATGCTCCTGAGGTGGCACATCCTTAGCTACACGGAGTGGCAGAGTGTGGGAAGGAGGCCCTGAGGGAGGGTCATGGAAAGGGAGGACACGGGGATGCACTGGCAGCCGGAAGCTGCCCGGGGAAGTGAAGTCTGAGGCCTGGGGATGGAGGCCGTCAGGGAGGGGTCAGACGGGGCTGCTGCCCAGACTGCTCTGCCCACCCCTCACCCCACCCTGCTCGCCTCCAGCTCCGAATGGACAGCTCTAGCCAGAAGGTTCCTGTGTTTTACGGCTGGTGAGGAGTGCGCATGGCCAGGCCGGTCCAGCTTGGCTGCTAATGACAGGTTGGCTGTTTGAACCCACCCAGTGCATCCTTGGGGGAAAAGATCTACTTCCTTTAAGGGGCCGGCCTAGGACACCCTGCAGGCAGCTGTCCTGTGCCCTAGAGGGTGGCTCAGAGTCACAGTGCCATCAGCTTGATGGCACAGGACAGCGGCGATGTGGGCTGCTGATGGGAGACGCTGGGTGACATGTTTAATCTCCTTCCTGGCTCAGGGGGTGGTGGTTTGGGACCCAGAGGGTCGCAGCCCAGAGAGTTAATCACTGAATCTACTACCCAGGGACCCTGGAATTCCTCCTGGCCCTGCCTCTGGGCAGAAGGCACTGGGCAAAGCTGTAATTTCAAGGTGACTTTGAACAGTAGGAGGAGTCATGGTAGGGCAGTGGGTACGCGTTGGGCTGCGACCCGCAAAGTCGGCAGTTCCAAACCACCAGCCACTCCTCGGGAGAAAGGTGGCGCTTTCTACTCCCCTAAAAGTTCCAGTCTGGGAGCTCACAGGGCAGTTCTCCCTGGTCCGACAGTGTTGCTGTGGGTTGGCATGGATGGACATCAGGGAGTTTGGGTTAAACAACAGCGGGCACTCACTGGATCTTGGTTTGGGAAGCTGTGTGCATTAGTTACCATCTATTCAGGATCTAAAGGCGTGTGTTATTCAGGGTAGACTAGAGAAAGAAATTCATAGGCACTCATGTGTATAGGAAAGAGCTTTATTTTAAAAAAAATAATTTTATTGGAGGCTCATAGAACTCTTATCATAATGTATACACCCATCCATTGTGTCTTCTCGGATCCAGGAGGCTCATTGTGCTGTGATGGTGGGGCCCAGGGATGCACTCCACTCCAGGTTCTTGCTAGGAGTGAGATCTCCCTTACTGACATGGCTCACTTTATCCCCGCAAGATGGCAGTCACTCACAGTTGAATCATACAATACAACCACCTTCTTACCCAGATCCATCAGGAAAATGAGGGGTAACAAAACCTATGGCTAGAAGAGCTATATTAAGTAATTCTCTACATTGCAGCCTTGGAAGCCATGGTCCACACTGTGCTGAATGCTTAGCGGCAATAACCTATGAGCTTCTTTATCTGCTTTGGATGGGGTCCCACTCGGAGTGCGGCACCTCTAAGTCGATATGATGCTGCTCCCGGCAGACATGGTACCCTGCCCCCAGCCTCCCTCCTCATCCCCAGGGGGCAGCGAGCTCTGCCCCCTGGGACAGGTGGTCTGCTCACTGGTGAGGCAGTAGGGGCTGAAGTGCTACTACTGCAGGAGGTCTCCTCCCGCCAGGTTTACCCTACTGGAGCCCCTGCTTCCAGCCCGGTCAAACTGGACAACTGTTACTTGCCTTCAAGAAAAAAAAAGGGGAGCTAGCCGGCTCTGTGAATGGGGCTTGTCCCAGGACTGCAGCCCTGGGGAGTGGCGGGCAGGAGGCACGTAGCCCTTCCTTCCTGGGTGCCTGGTTCTCCTGTGTGTCTGTCCCATTCTTTTCTGCCCCTTGTCTGTCTTTTGCAGCCCCCCACGTGTTTTAATCTGTAGGTCACTTTTGGCCCGCCACTACAGTCACAGATCACAGTGAGGCATTTTCGCCCACACTCACCCCACCCCCCCAACCTTCAGAATCGACCTCCCCCAGAAAGCCATCAGATTGGGCTAGTCGACTCTTTTCAGTGAAGCCACTCCACCCAACAGACGGCCTCTCTTTGGGGCAGGTGCTGTCGTGGGCAGTTGTTGAGATGGCAGCACCAGTGACCTCGTGGCACACGCCCAAGGGGTCAGAGTGCCTGAGCAGAGTTCATGGGTGTGGAAGGCACTCCACAGCGTGTGTAACGCACAAGGTGTGCCATTCACCGGCCGGACAGACTCCCTGCCTTGACAGCGCCCTGACCTGACTTGCTTTGTGCGTTTCCAGGGTAGCTATGGACTCCCAGTGACGGCCCGGCCAGCGCACCCAGTCTCCTGCGCAATGGTATTGTGAAGGGGGATGCTTCCGGGGGCTCCTGCCCAGCTTTGGCTTTGTGGATGATGGGTGACGACGGACTCTCTGACCACCCCCAATCCATGGACTTTCTCAACATCTGTTTGGGAGACAGCCTGCAGCCCAGCCCAGGAGTACCCCTGAGGGAATGGAGCCTCCAACCTGAATCGACTGGACCTTGCAGGGAACAGGCTCGGGCCTTTGGCCCTCCAGATCCCAGCAGGCAAGATGCCCTGGGGGGTCAGGTGGAAGAGCCCACCCACCTGGAGAGCTGCTGTTCTGAAGGGGAGCTCCGGCAGAGCACAACACCCCCTGGGCTGCCCGGAGGCAACTCCCAGCATAGCCAAAGCACGTCAGCCCAGGTCATGTTCTGGGCTGGCATCCTTCAGGCCCAGATGTGTGTGTTGGACCTGGAGGAGGAGCTAGAGAAGACAGAAGGGGGGCTCAGGGCTGAGCTGAGATGCTGCATCCCCACAGCCCCAGGGGGCCTCCCCACCTTCCCCTCCAGCCCGGCTAGTCCCCAAGACTCGGGCCTCCAACCGAGGCCCCCGCCCATGGAGGAGGACACGGGGGACGACAGCAGCGGGCCCGAGGAGAGCCACGGGTGGCCGAGGGAGGCCATAGCAGGGTTGTGCCCTGAGTGGAGTCCCGAGGAGGAGAGCCTGTTCTTCGACAACCCTCTCTTTCTGGAGAGCCCTTGCTCCGAGACTTCTGGAGAGCTTTTTTCCTGGGGGTTCCCAAACGCCCTGAAGGATGGGAGGCCGGGGCCTGAGAGCTTGCAGATGCAAGAAGCCTCTTTCCCAGGAGGCGAAGTCTCCTGGGAGCTGGAAAGGGAGCTGGATTTGGAAGATGGTGCCACTGGGTCCAGTGGGCACAGCACCCCTCCGTTCCCTATGCCCATCTACAGAGTCCACTCCCTCTCCTGGCCCACAGAGGGTGCCACCGAGGGAGCACCCAGGACACTCCCTGGCCAGGCGGATAATGAGGTAAGCAGAGACAGGGGCCTGGGAACCCGCCTGGACTGTGCAGGGGAGCGCCTGGGTGGGGTGAGGCTGCCTTCTGAGGTCTCTGGGCCCAGATGCCCTTTCCAGAGGCTGAGGGTCTTTGGGAGCAGAAAATAAGGACTGGCTTGGCCTTCAGAATTCTGGGAAACATGATCGATGCCCTGATGTAACCTGCGTAGTGTGGAGATTAAGTCCACGAATGTCCCCTGCCAGCCAGCTCCAGAGGGCCACATCTGGGTACTTGGAGAACAAACAGCTCCTCCCATTGCAGCCTGTTCCAGGCCCTTCTCAGACTCTGCCCCTCCCACCTCCAGGCATTCCCCAGCAGTACCAGGGCAGGGCAGGGGTCAGCCGCCGGGGGGTGACCTCCTTCCCTAGTGGGGAGGTGTTTCTTGAGAGATTTTTTTGTTGTTACTTTGGTCTCACCGTCTGTCCTCTCCCGCCCTGAGGCCCTCAGTAGGGAAGCCCCCCCTTCCCACCCCATGACCAAGGCAGAGAACCTCCCTATCTAGGGATGGGGGCACCAGGGGCACAGTTTTCCCAGAGAGGCCTCTGCCTAAGAGATAAGGCTTCAGCTGGAAGATGGCAGAGGGCACGCTGTAACTTCTCAACCTCCCTAATCCCATAGAACAACCAAGAAGAGCTGTTAGCTGAAACAGCTCTCCTACCAGACCCCTGAGATCAGAGGGGCTCCTTGAGGACTGGTAAAAGGCTCCCAGCATCGGGTGGTCACTGCTATGTCTTACGGAAATATATTCTCTCGGGACCTTCTTGCTCTCAGGAGTCCTCGGGGAGGCCTTTCATGGTGGTCTTGAGCTGGGCTTGTGCTGGAGTTCTGGAGTGGCAGAGCCTAGCCCAGGACCTGTGGGCCGCTGCCTCCCTGTAACCACCGGCACGCCTTGGGCAGGGAACACTGGAGGAGAGTTGGGGCACGGAAGCCATGAGGCCTGAGGGAAGTGGGAAAGGCCCTGGGGGCGATTTTCCTGTGGCCAAACTTCTCTCTCCTTTTCTTCTCCCTAAGGATCCCTCTGGAGAGAGAGCTGGTCCTGCATTAGCGACGACATCCTGGGAGGACAGTGCATCGGCCTGGGAGTCAGGATGCTTAGGATCTGGCTCCAGCCCTGCCACTCACCTTGCACAACCTTTGGCAAGTCCCTTCCTTCGGCTCTCTGGGGGCCACCTCTCATCTCTGTAAAAAGCAGAGCAGGGCCCAATTAATAGTGCCTGGATAGATGCCCCTTTTTGAGGGACATACACTTTTTCTCTCAAAGATGCATGAATATTATTACATATCAGCTTCTGACTTAAATTTTATATATATATTTGAAACCAGTGTTTGGCAAACTATGACATGTGTCCAACGTGAATCCAGTTACCCGCCAGCCACCGTGCAGACTTCTTCCATTTAAATAAAGTCTTATTGGAACACACACACACACACACACACACACACACACACACACACACAGCAGAGCAGGAGCCAGTGGCCCCAGAGCCCGGGGCCAAGATGTCCAAAGTGTAGTGCTTCTCCCTGGAGACCTGGTGGGTTCTTCTGTACTCGTTGGGTTGCTAACCACAAGGTCCATAGTTCGAAACCACCAGCCGCTCTTCGGGAGAAAGATGGGGCTTTCTATTCCCTTAAAGAGTGGCAGTCTCGGAAACCCCCCGGGGCAGTTCTGGCCCATCCAATAGGATCGCTGTGAGTCAGTGCTCAATGACAGTGCACTTGGATTTTGGGTGCTTTTCCCAGGGAAGGAGGATGTGGGGTGAGGGGTGAATCAGTGGGGTGGGACGATGCTGTATACTCGCAGGTCAGTCTTCCATCCTTACCACCCACCCTGGTCCCCCTCTTTCTCCTTTCTAGCGTCTTCCGGGCTCAAGCAACCCTCTCGGCTTTCTTCCACTGGCCGTGCCCTGCCCCGAGGGCCGGCAGGCTGACGAGGATTCTTCCTGGCTCCACGTGTCCCCCTGCTCCCTGGACAGAGGTGAGGCCCAGTCTGCTGTGAGGAGAAGAGTCCCCTGAGACACGGGGTGGGACAAGGCTTTGGGTTCTGCAGTGGTGACAAAGATAACTCATGGGTCCCTCGCTGTCACAAAGAGGCCCCCTCGTAGTGTTCTGGAGCCAGACAGACTTGGGGGAAGCCCTGCCTCGGTGGTGTCACCCACAAAGCAGGTATAAGAATACTAATCTTACAGAGAACGTATCCACATAGATGCTGAAGAGCCAGCATCTTTGATGCCCGGCTCTCCACTGAGAGTCAGCAAAAGCCCTGCACCCGTGGTTTCCATGGGCTGGAGCCCGGTGTGTGGGAGCGGCCACTGCCCAAGGGACAGACTGGCCATGCTGCCCAGCTCCAGGGGAGGAGCCCCAGGGAGGGAGTCTGGCCTGGCTCAGACTCTGCCAGGTCCCCTGACTCATGGCCACCCTCCCTCCCCTGTGCCCACCTCACCCTGTGCTCCTCCTCAGGGGAGGGTGATGACGAGGGTCTGCAGGAGTCTGCCATCAGCACCGACCCTTACTTCTGCGAGAGCCCAGCCTCTTCCCTGGAGCATAGCCTCCCAGAGTCTGAGAGCGGAGGTCTTGGCCCCTGGCCCAGCCCAGTGGCCTCCCAGGAGGGGAGCCCGGAGCTTCCACACCAGCACCTGGACGGTGTTTTCCCCAAGTGGACGCTGGATGCTTCACATCTTCCATGCCTGGAGACAGGGGGTGCAGAGCCCCCTCCCCTGGAGGCAGGGGAGCCCCGGAGCCCAGGGGAAGCAGTGAAGAATGAATACACAGCCAGGAGTGAAGAGTCCAGTGCTGTCCAGCTGGACACTCGCTCGGCTTCCACAGAAGGGTAAGTGCCAGGCGCCCTGGCCATCAGGCTCCTAGTGATGGGTGCGTCGCAAGTTCCCTGATGTGGGTGGAGAATGAGAAGAGCATTCTGGGAGTTACCTAAGCGCCAGTCAGCAGGAGTCCCTGATCCGGGTAAAGTGTCTCAGCCCCGTATTCCACACGGCAGAAAGGTCGATGGTTGGAACCTACCCAGAGATACCTTGGAAGCAATGCTGGCGATCGTTTTCTGAAAGCGCAAAGCCTCGGAAATCATGAGAGGCGCAAAGTATTGCCACGAGGCAGCATCAGCGCCGTGCCGTTGACTCGCTCAGGATCGTTGGACAGGGCGTCCACAGAGTTCCGAGGGAGAGCACAGGCTCCGACAGGGCAAGCAGTGACAGAGCGGATGCCAGTTGGGAACGCGCTGGGCTGGGGTCCTGTGAGAAGGGCCCATGGCAGGAAGGAGACCAGGGGAGGAGGAGGAGAAGGGGCTCAGGGAATGGACCAGGGCCTGTGCCTGGGGGAATGGTGTTAGGCAGGTATGGGGAGTGGAGGTGGAAGGCAGAGTTTATGAGGCGAGAAGAAGGATTGGGAGGGGGATTTATGGACTTTGAAGTTGAGGAGGTCTCTGGGGAAATTCTCCAAAGGGCCTAGGGTCAGGGTGCCATCTCTGATCCGAGGGTAGCACGGAGGGAGTTTTGTTGGCCAGAGATAGGAATACGCCAACTTACAAGCCAACCTTGAATTCTTTCTGGGATTCCTATCCCAGGAAAGGCAAGAGTCCTGCTGGTCTAGTGGTTACTATGTGTTGGGCTGCGGTCCCAAAGGTCTGCAGTTCAAAACCACCAGCCCTCCTAGGGAGAAAGATGGAGCTTTCTAATTCTGTAACCGTTTATAGTCTTGGAAACTCAAGGGGGTAGTTCCACCCTGTCCTGCAGGGTCACTGTGAGTCAGCATCGGCTTGATGGCAGTGAGTTTGTTTTGTCTTGTTTTGGGGGAAGGGGGCTTATACCAAGAAAGGGGTTTTCTTCTCTGGTTGGTCAAATAGGGGTATTAAGGAGACCAAGAAGAACCAGGATGGTTCAAGTCATGGGACCGAATGATGCAGTACCTGGAGGGTTAACCTCTCCCATCCTGTCATCCCTGGGTGATGGTGAGCCAACTTCAGTCAGCTCCAGAAACCAAGGAGCCACCTCCCTCATCATGTGGAAGCCATGCCATCCCTGGAGCTGTGCAGACAGAGGATGGGCCATGGGGAGGCGAGTGTGGGGGGAGGTGGAATCTGACAATTTGAAAAGACAGCATTCATTATACCAAACATGAAAATCAGTCCAACCTAAAACACCCACTCCAATGCCATCAAGTTGACCCCAACTCTTAGCGACCCTATAAGACAGAGTAGAATCATCCCTGTGGTTTCCCGAGTAATCTGTGTAAATCTTTATGGGAGTGGAAAGCCTTCCATTTCTCCCACAGAGTAGCTGGTGGGCTCGAACTGCTGACCTTGTGGTTCCCAGCCCAAAGTAAAAGCACCTAAAATCAGAACCATACTCTCATGATTTTGAGAGTGGTTTCATTAGGGTTCTGTTGTCTGGCTGTCGTGTTGGGGCTGACGCATAGGGAACAATAGGATGGGAGCTTAGAACTACCTGGGCGATGATAGTCACAGTATCTGATTGGCTGGTCTTTCTGTCATGGAGCTTCCAGGTGGGTTTGAACCGCTGACCTTGCAGCCACTGACTGCTTAACCATGGTCAGTTGGGCCCCATGTTTCAGCATCAGGTTCATGGACTTGGTGAAATGCTGCACTTTGTTTGCAAGCTTTGTATCTCCACCTTCCGTTTCATTCACCTGGTCTTGGGAGTCGTGAGATGTTATCAGTGACGACCAGGTGGACAGAAGTGACCTGCATGTTAAAGGGAAAAGACCATTGAGTGATGTCTAATTTTAAAAGCAGTCTGGCTATTCGAATAATTCCCCGAACTGCGGTCACTCGGGGAATGAATAGCCAAGTAATTAGGATATCCTGGACCTCAGAGTCAGATTAACCAATAAACAAAGTCAGCACGAGTAAGCCTGGCCTCCCGTGCTCCCGGGGAACTCCCTACCTGTCTAACCAAACTCCCGGCCAGCTAGTCGACTCTGACTCGTAGTGGGGACCCTGTCGATCAGGGATCATAAACAGGAAAAGAGACTTTGATTCTGTAGGAACCTGGTGTGTGGGAGAGAGAGAGAGAGACAGGGAGAGAGAGATTAACTCCAGCCATACCTAGGAGCAGAATCTTTTATATTTTTTTGTTTTCTTAAGCATAAATTTGCTAACGACTAATCAGTAAGCACACGTAGGCCTATGCTTATCTTGCTTATTGGCTGGTTCGGAGCTGCCAGACCTGCTTGCGTTGTGGCAGGGCAAACTCAAACAAGAGTCCGGTGGAGGGTGGACTCTGTGACTGCTGGGAGTTCCAGTTTTCGTGTCTGCTGGCCGTTCCTTGAGCCTGTTTGCAGTCGTAATTGGTCACCATCCAATCCCCTTGTGGAAAGGGGGTTATTGGACTGCCTGTGAGGGGTGGAAAGCCCCTTCTGAACTCTCCAGCAGTCACCATTCCCCAAGCACCTCTAATTTGCTGCTCTCGGCCCTGTCCTTACACCTTTCTTAGCTTCAGGTCTGGGAGTGTAGACTGGAGTCAGAGGGGGGAGATGGCACAAGGAGTCGTCTTGAGGATGGCAGGGCAGGTGAGAGAGAAGGGTCTGCTGAGGTTTGGGGGAGATGATCCCACCCCATTTGGGGCCACAATAAACACTAGTTGGGTCTCCAAAGAGCTGACTGCATCTTCTTCCTGGTGGGAGATAAATTGAGAGGTCCCCTGTGGTTTACCTGAGAAAGTGCTGGGTACCAAGCTCCTCTCTGCCTTCTCCTGGCTCCCAGGCCAGGCTGGGTCAGGCTGCCCGTGTGTCTGCTCTTTCTCTGGATAAGGCCCTGGGCCCAGCTCCTCTTCTACCTGCCCAGGTCTGGAGCTCTAGCCCTGAACTTGAACTAGGGATGTGGTCTCTGGGATGCCCCTGCCATGACAGGCCTGCAAGGACACTTGACCCAGAACCCTTTGATGTCTGTCCCGAGTGGTACAGGGGACCTGGAGCAGTCTGAGGACACCCATGGACTTTTCCAGGTTTCTTGAGAGCCCCGTGCCCCAAGCACAGACCCTGGAAGAAGGCCAGAGGCCGCAGGCTGGAGACAAGCTGGCTAACGGTGTCAGCACGGACCAGGTGGCCTGGAACTTGGCCTCACGCCTCTATCATCTGGAGGGGTTCCGGAAGTCAGAAGTGGCTGCCTACCTGCGGAAGAAGTAAGAGCCCCTGGACCCAAGTGAGGCAGGATTGGGGAGGGCTGCAATAAGCGCCCCCCCTGCCCCTGCCATCCTGTCCCCTCCCAGCTTCTTGACAGCCCCGTCGCTGACCCCCGACCCCATTAGCCTCAGCCAATCTCTTCCCCACCCTTATCCCTTCCCTTTCCCTCCCTCCCCACCCCTCCTCCTTCACACTTTGGTCCCCTCTTCTCCACATCCTTGGTCCTTGCTAAGGGCCCTTGGACCCGCCCACCTCGCCCGCCTCATACTCCCCATGCCCTGCTCACTTGTATTAGCTGGACACCCCAGCTGCAGACCCGGCCCTGGCTGGCCCGCCCCTGACCCTCCTGGAACCCCTGCCCCGTCCAGTCTGCCCGTCAGGTCCTGTGACACGTGTGCCTGCGCCCTGTGAAGCCCAGCCCCTGCCTTCAGGCCTCACCTGTTCTCCTCCGCAGCAACGACTTCAGCAGAGCTGTAGCCGAGGAGTACTTGTCCTTCTTCCAGTTTGGAGGCCAGAGCCTGGATCGCGCCCTCCGGTGATGACCCTGGGCCCCCGCCAGGAGGAGATTGGGGCTGGAGGGCAGTGGTACCAGGCCTGAGGCTGCAGAGAGCTTGCAGCCTGGGCTCTGTTGACTTTGGCCCTCCTTCTCAGGGGCTTCCTGCAGGCCCTGGTACTCAGCGGGGAGACTCAGGAGCGGGAGCGGATCCTCTACCAGTTCTCCAAGCGCTTCCACCACTGCAATCCCGCGGTCTTCTCGTCAGTGGGTAGGGAGGGGGCAGCTCTGGAGGCAGGGCAAGGGGCTCTGAGGCTCTTGGGAGGAGGATGGCACCCAAGTGATTCCAAACATGGGGTCTGCTCAGGAGATCAGTGGTAGTGTATGTGTGCGGGGTGGGAGGGTAGAGGGGGCAGAAAAGTTCTATGGGTCACCCAACCTAGGGGGAGAGAGGACAGGGGTCTGGATTTCAAATGTGCCTTCTTTCCCCTGGCCTCCCTCTGGGGCAGATTCTGTGCACACCCTGACCTGCGCCATCATGCTTCTTAACACGGACCTGCACGGACAGGTAAGAGGGTGGGGCGTGCCTGCGGACCTGAGGCAGGGGGCCACTCGGGCCTGGGACTGTTCAAGGGCAGCTGTACGGGGGGAGTTGAAGATCCATGGGTGGGAGTGAGGGGGAGGGAAGACCAGAGGCTTGGGAGGAGGTTAGGGAAGGACCCTGGGCTTTGGGGGCATGGGGAACAGGTGAAGGCTGCTGAGACACCAGGGAGTCACCTGGTTGAGGTGGGGCGGGGGGTGTGTGTGACAGCGGCCTCTTCTCTGGCCACAGAACCTTGGGAAAAGCATGAGCTGCCAAGCATTCATCACCAACCTGAACGGCCTGCAGGATGGAGCCAACTTTCCCAAAGAACTGCTCAAGGTAGGCTGGGCTCCCAGGGGGTGGTCCAGGGTCTTCACTCCTTGTCCCTAGGGGATGCTGCACTCTACCGGACCCGGCCAAGTTGCTCCTGAGAGGATGCTGTTGCTGTGGGCTACTGCGGAGTTGCCCGTTCATAGTGACCCTCACAAAGGAACAACATGCTACCCAGCCCCTGCCCTTCTCTGATGGGCTGAGAAGAGGGCAGCTGTGAGCCTTACAGCTTCCACTGGCCGGCTCTTAGAAGTTGCTCAGCAGGCTTTGGTTTCTTCTAGTCCACGTCGTCTCCACTGAGGCCTGTCGATATCCTAACAAGATGCAGGCCTCCACTGATCATGGGTGCTGGCTTTGCATGCGTGGCACCGACCTTGTTAAGCATCCCTCTCTGGCAGCACCAGCCATGATGCAATTGATTAAACCAAGCCAAACCCACTCCCATCCAGTTCATTCTGACTCGTAGAGTCTGTAGGACAGACTAGAACCCCTTTGGGTTTCTGAGGCTGCAAGTCTTTGCAGGATTAGAAAGCCTCATCGTTCTCCCTCGGAGCAGCTGTGGGTTTCAAACTGCCGACCTTCCGGTTTCCAGCCCAATGCGTAGCCCACTATGCCACTGATGTGGAGTTGGTTAGTACTGTATATCCATGGAAGGAGCCCCGCTGGTGTCGTGGGTGCGCATTGGGCCGTTATCTGCATGGTTGGCAGTTTGAAACCACCAGCGGCCCTTCGGGAGAAAGACTGGGCTTTTTACTCCTGTAAACAGTGAGTCTCGGACGCCCACGGGCGGTCACGATGAGTCCGTGCTGACCCCTTGGCAGTGAGTGTGGTTTGTTTGTTTGGGGGTTGGTGTATTCATAGACCTACCGAGTCAGAAGCGCCATTTCTTCCTGTAAAGAATTGCAGTCTCAGAAACGTGAGAGAGCAGAGCCACTCTGCCCTAGTGAGTGGACTTGATGGCGTGGGGTCTGGCTTCCCTGTGGCCAGGCTTGCTGAAGACTGAGAAACGCTAGTTTGCTGGTCTTCTGAGTGAGCAAGGGACGCAACCTTTGGATTCAGTCCAGAGCTCAGCCGTGGGAGCCTCTGTCCCGGGTTTGAACTCTTGTCTTGGCCACAACTCCCGCACTTCATGGGGCCTGTCTTCTCACAGTGTTGCTAGTGAGAGTCGTTGGCCGCATGCTTAACACTGTCTGGAACCCAGCATGCTCTTCAAATGTCAGGAGCTCATTTTTTAAAGCAAACCAGTTGCCGTGGCTCCTGGCGCCCCCATGTGTGTCAGAGCGGAACTGCACTCTCCGGGGTTTCCCAGGCGGGTTTCTCTAAAGCCGGCTGTTTGAGTTGGCCCCGATGGACAGACGGACAGGCTCAAAGCTTTGGTTTAGCAGCCGGGTATGCAGCCCGTGTGCACCCTTCTCTGAACACCTCCTTCGTGCCAGGCACCGTGCTGGGTCCCATGAAGGTCACCACACCCAGGGCTTGGAACCCATTCCCTCCGGATGTTTGCATGTCCACCCCCGACCTAGATGGAGATTCTGGTTGTTTACCTGGGCTACAAACGCCCAGCAGGGGCCGGACTGCCCCACAGCCCTGGCAAAAGCAAGCAGCGTACCTCTGGATTGTAGTAAAGATTGTACAGCCTGTCTTGATACGATCGAACTATTGAGTTGTATGATATGTGGAAGAAGTGCCAATAAAACTGTTAAAACAGTAAGAGTTTCAGAAACCCACAAGGACAGTTCTTGCCTGCCCTGTTGCGTGGCTTGGAGTCAGAATCGCATGGATGGCATGAGAGTTTTTGTTTGGTTGGTGTTTTACTTGGCCTGTGTTTCCATTCAATGACGCCATTGTAAGTTGTCTCTGCAGAAGAACATCTCTCTCTCTCTTTTTTTCATTTTCACTAACACTATCTTTTATCAGTACCTTTATAAATCTGATTTTTATTTTCCATACATTAGAAGCATTGCATATAGCTCAATATATATATTAAGCCATGACTACATACATTAAAAAGATAAGTCATAAACAAAGTTCCTTTGATGTTGAAGAAACGTTACGCAACATTGGCATTTTGTCAGCCGAGGTACTAACTCCACTTGTGGAAGGTTCTGGATCATATGGGTTATCCTAGGACTTGGCGTCCCATTTCTGTTCAGAAAACACATGAGAGTTGTCCCTGAGGCCTTTTCCCATATATACGTTGCAGTAACATCTTGTTGCTTCCCAAATCTGCCTTATCAGTTTAAGAAAAGTGGTCAGTGCATGGATCCATGGCTCAAGCAACTGCAGCTTAAAAACTGTATCTGAATGGCAGGGTTTTAAACAATAAATCATGCATTTTGAACATCCGTGAAGGACTATCTAAGCATGATAACATCAGCATATTGTGCATGTTGTAGGTAATCCATGTATTGGGAGGAAAAGAAGACAGTCCTGATAGTGCAGTGGGTTAGACATGGTGCTGGTCACCCCAAGGCCAGCCGTTCACATTCACCTGTCGCTCCTTGGGAGAAAGATCAGACACTCTTCTCCTGTAAAGAGTTAAAGTCTCGGAAACACAGGAGCAGTTCGACCCTGTCCTGTAGGATTGCTGCAAGTCAGAACCAACTCAAGGGCAGGGACTTGATTCGGGGTTGGGAATGTGTGCCTGGGAACTTGGAGACATTGTAGGGCAGGGACTCCCTGTCGCTCGAGTCTTGTGCTCAGCACCCAGCCCGGTGCCTGGCACATTGCAGCAAAACACCCTCATCCGCCGCCATCACGCGGACTCCCAGGCACACGACTGCACAGAACTGCTCTTCAGGGTTCCCGCAACTAAGTCGTGATGGAAGCAGAGAGCCAGGTAGTGTCAGCTTTCCCCAGAGTGGGTAGTGGGTTTGAACTGCTGACCTTGTGTTGTCAGCAGCCTAATGCCTGTCCCACAGCCCCACCAGAGCTCCTTGACACGTGGCAGTGCTCCATACATAATCTGCCGTATGGGTGGCTGGAAGAGCTGGGTCCCTGGCTCAAGGCAGGTGGATCGCTATGTTAGGGGTCTGGTTCTGGAGAAGGTGGCTGCAGACAGAAGGGCCCACCGCCCCGAGGCTCACCGACCACCTGTGTGCTTCTGTTCCAGGCCTTCTACTGGTCTATCCGAAGTGAGAAGCTCGAGTGGGCCATGTAAGTCAGAGCCCTGCCCTTCCCTTCTGGGCCTGCCATCCCTCGGCCTGCCCACTGGGGAGCTGGAGAAGCTTAGAGCCCTGGGCCGGGCGCTCAGTAGGGGGTGGTCTGGGCCTGGGCCTCATTGCTGGTCCAATCTCAGAAGGGCAGAGGAGCCCAACTAGGAAGGAGATGGGTCAGTGAACTGATGGGTTGGCTTGGAGACATGATCTCTTTTGCGGGGAGTGCCCTGAACTATGTGTCCCCAGCAAAATGGCGGGGCAGGGGGGGGGGGGGCTAAGGCCCTGGGGCCATCGGGCACCTCTTGGTGATCATTGCCCAATCATCCTCCAACCTGATTCTCTCATGTCCAGGGATGAAGAAGATGCAGCCAGACCTGAGAAGGCCAAGCTCTCTCCCCCAGCAGGCAAGATGAGCAGCCCCTTCCTCCAGCTCGCCCAGGACCCCACAGTGCCCACCTACAAGCAGGGCATCCTGGCCCGGAAGATGCATCATGACGCGGATGGCAAGAAGAGTGAGTGTCCGCTGCCCTGTAGCAGGGCAGGCATGTGCAAAGCAGGACTCTGCTCGGGGGCACGTGTGACTGCGTGGGTATGTGTGGCTGTGTGGGGCCATTTGTGGGGGGCACGTGTGGCATTGGGGAGCATATGTGGCTGTGTGGGGCATGTGTGGCTGTGTGTGGGACGTGTGGCTGTGTGGGGCACGTGTGACTACGTGGGGCACTTGTCGCATGGGGCACATGTGACTATGTGGGACATATGTAACTGTGGGGCACTTGTGGCTGTGTGGGGCACGTGTGACTATGGGGCATATGTGGCTGCGTGGGGGCACATATGACTGCATGGGGTATGTGTGACTGTGTGGGGCATATGTGGCTGTGTGGGGTACGTGTGACTATGTGGGAAACGTGACTGTGTGGGGCACGTGTGGCTGCGTGGGGGCACGTGCGACTGTGTGGGGCATGTGTCACTGCATGGGGCTCGTGTGGCTGCGTGGGGACAGAGGGAAAGGCGACACATGTCCAGGGCAGGCAATGCAAGTTCCCTTCTCAGCGTGCACAGCGTGTACTGCACAGCAGCGCTGCTCCGGGCCCAGGGAGGAGGGCGGGAGAGCAGAGATAAAACAGCGCAGTTCCCCCTGTCCTCAGAGAGCCTGAGGACAGGGCAGATGTTAGAGACATACATCAGTGTCTGCAAGGAAAGGGAGAAACCGGTGAGTGGTGTAGGAGAGACAGATCAAACATGGGGCTCTGGAGGCAGGCAAGGTTTGGGTTTTAGTTTTGGGGGTGAGGTGTGGGAGCAGGGGTAGGAAGCCTTCTGGGAAATGCTGGTGTCCGAGTTGAACATTGGAGGGTACATGGGAATGGATATTTGAAGTTGGACAGGGGCCATGCCTCCCAGAGCACAGAATTTTCTTAGAACATGGGTGTCAGAGAAACTGGTGGAGAGATGCATTTGGGACCCACATGCTGGGTTCAGAATTTGGGTCACATTCCACAAGCAGCCAAAGACTTTTGAGCAGGGCGGCCACATTACCAGAGTGATGTTCTGGGCAAGCAGTCATGGGTAAAATAGATCAAATGGGTTTTAGCAGTCGAGCCAAGTCCAGGTGATGCGGCTGCAGGGCCTCCAGGCTTTTGTCCACAGAGCTGAGAGGTCAGGAGCAGGACTGAGTCTCCCCAGAAAAGACCAGGGTGCAGAGGCGCGTGGAAGCCAGCACTTGGTGCCCAGAGTGGGGTCCACCGACAAGGAAGCCCCTCTGGATGGATACATGAGGACGGAGCCTGTGAAATGTCTGGGTGGAACTGTGCTCATGGGCGGTGTGTTTGCTTGTGGGCTTGTGGGGGACGAGGGGGGCGGGGCGGTCTGTATGAACATCTGCATTGGTACCTGAAGGTTCTCTGCTTTTGTTCCCGGGAGCCATTGCTTGTGTATGGGGAGAGTGTGTCCAAGTGTGATTGGGCCAGCGGGTCATCTTGGTACACCTATGTGTGTGTACATGTGGGTAGGAAGGATGGGGGGTGGGGGGGCGAGGACTGGGAGCAGTACTGGGGAGTAGAGGCTGAGGGGCTATGTTTCCCAAACTGACCATGTGTTCTGCTCCTGGAGCAGCCCCTTGGGGCAAGCGCGGCTGGAAGATGTTCCACACCTTACTGCGAGGAATGGTGCTCTATTTCCTGAAGGTAGGACGTGGTGGACACCCCTGACCAGATAGAGTGGGGAGCAGGAAGGAGGGGGAACTGATCACCTCTTCTGAGCCCCTGTGCCCTCTGCCAGGGAGAGGACCACTGCCTGGACGGGGAGAGTTTGGTGGGACAGATGGTGGACGAGCCCGTGGGGGTGCACCACTCACTGGCCACCCCTGCCTCCCATTACACCAAGAAGCCGCACGTCTTCCAGCTGCGTACCGCCGACTGGCGCCTCTACCTCTTCCAGACACCGTAAGTCCCCGGCATGAGACCAGCAGCGAGGGCTCTGGCCCTTCCTGCCCACCTGCCTACCTCTCCTCTGACTTGCTACGCGCATAGCTGACACCCGCTTGTCCTAGGACCACATTGTTCTCACCAAACCTCACTGTCATCCAGTTGATGCCAACTCGTGGCAGCTCTCTACAGAGGCCAGGGTAGAACTGCCCCGGTGGGTGTCTGGGTCTGTAGTTCTTCTTTTTTTTTTTTTAAATCATTTTATTAGGGGCTCAGACAACTCATCACAATCCATACATACATCAATTGTGTAAAGCATATTT